TCCACTCACCTCAGCCTCCCAAAGGTGCGGGATTACAGGCTGAGCCACCGAGCCCGATTCCAGCTAGTATTTTTATGCATTTCTTTTTTATTGTAAAGATGTGGGGTGCAAGCCAGGACTGGTACATAAGCAGTTTATGTGCAGGTGAAGTTTGGGCTCCCAACTGGCCCTCATTTCTCCTGGTTTAGGATCAGGTACCCTTAGTGATGTTACCTGCACCCCCCTCCTTCCCCTGGCTGTATGCCACTTTGCCGATTCCTCTCTTACAGTAATTGTGAATGGTCAGTATTTTTTTTTCAGTTGGAGTCTTACTCCGTCGCCCAGGCCAGAGTGCAGTGGCATGCTCACTACCACCCTAGCATCGACCCGCAGGGCTCCAGCGATCCTTCTGCCTCAGCCTCAGTAGCCAGAACTATAGGCATGTACTACCACACCCAGCTAATTTTTATTTATTGTAGAGACAAGGTCCTGCCAAGTTGCCCGGACTGGTCTTGAACCCACGGGCTCAGGCAATCCACTTGCCTCGGCCTCCCAAAGTGCTGGGATGACAGGCTGAGCCACCGAGTCCAGCCTAGTCAGTATTTTTAAAAGGATTTAATGAGCCTGCATGTGACCTGATTTTTTTTCCTATTGTTATAGAGACAAGGTCTTGCATTGTTGTCCAGACTGGTCTTGAATTCGCGCGATCCTCCCACCTCGACCTCCCAGGCATGCAGCACAACACTCCATTATTTTTTTTTTTGTAAGGGTAGGGGTCTCACCATGTTGTTCAGATTGGTCGTGAATTCCTGGGCTCAAACAATATGCCCACCTCAGCTCCCAAACTGCTGGGATCCCAGGAGTGAACCACTCTGCACAATCAGACCTGATTATTATTTTTTTTCTTTTTAAAATTTTATTTTACATGCAAGGGGTACTTATGCAGTTTTGTTACCCAGACCTGATTATTAATTGGGTTACTTGATAGGCTAGGAAGAGGCCAGGAGTGGTGACTCACGCCTATAATCCCAGCACTTTGGGAGGCCGAGGTGAGAGGATTGCCAGAGCCCACGGGCTCGAGACCAGCCCGGACAACTTGGCAAGACCTCATCTCTACAATAAATAAAAAAATTAACTTGCATGGAAGTGTGTGCCCGTAGTTCCTGTTACTTGGAAGGCTGAGGCTGAAGGATCACCTGAACCCAGCAGATTGGGGCTGTGGTAGCCATGACCATGCTACTGCACTCCACCCTGGGCAGCAGAGTGAGACTCTAACTCAAAAAAAAGAGAGAGAGAGAGAAATGATAGACTAGGAAGAGCAGTGTCATGGTAGGGGCAGGCTGTGATAGCATGCTTGGGCATAAAGAAAAGTGAGAATAGAATGTACTTTCCCGGCCTGTAATCCCAGCACTTTGGGAGCCTAGGTGAGAGGATTGTCTGTGTCCACGGGTTCCAGACCAGCCTAAGCAACTTGGCGAAACCTCATCTCTACAATAAATAAAAAGTCAGCCAGATGTGATGGCATGTGCCTATAGTTCCAGCTACTTGGAAGGCTGAGATGGAAAGATCACCTAAGCCCAGCAGGTAGAGGCTGCGGTGACTGTCAGCATGCCACTGTACTCCAGCCTGGGTGACACAGTGAGACTCCAAATAAAAAAAATAAAAATAAAAGTACTTTCCCATGGGTCTTCGTCTGGGAGAAGCAGCATAGTGAGGCCCTATCACTACAAAAAATAACGTAAAATGAAAATTAGCTGTGCAGGGTGGTGCACACCTGTAGTCCTAGCTACTCAGGAAACTGACGGGGGAGCATCCCTTGATTCCAAGAGGTTAAGGATGTTTTCAGTCATGATTGTGCCACTGGGCTCTAGCCTGGGTATCAGAACAAGAACCCATCTCTAAAATAGATGAGTAAGTAAGTAAATAATTGAAAAATGCCAGGCAAGGTGACTCTTCCAGTAATTCCAGCACTTTGGGGGGCAGATGTGAGAGGATTTCCCTGAGGCTACGGGTTCGAGACTAACCTGGGCAACTTGACAAGACCTCGTCTCTACAATAAACCAAAAAATTAAGGCCAGGCGCCATGGCTCAAGCCTGTGTTCCCAGTACTTTGGGAGGCCGAGACAAGAGGATTGCCTGAACCCAAGGTTTTGAGACCAGCCTGGGCAACATGGCAAGACCTCATCTCTGCAATAAATCTCTCCCCACTCTTAAAAGCTAAGCTCAAATGCTGTCTTGTCCACAAAATCTTCTGTGATGCTCACATTCAGAAATTCCTCATTTCCTTTCAACTCCTGTGGTCTTTTGTGCTGTTCTTATGACTCAATCACAGTCTGTCTCATAATATAATCATGTGTGTATTTTCCTACTTCTCCTTATTAAATTTCAGTTAGCTCCCTGAGGAGAGAAACTGTATTTTATTTATTTTACATTTTATCTCCTTGTATATAGCATGGAATTGTACTCAACCCAGAGAAGACACAATGAGTGAATAAAGGGAGGAAAAAATTGAATGCATTTTTAAAAATTAGAGATTCAAGTGTCTCCACTTTTTGGTTTGTCCTCTCTGTTGCCCAGGTTGGATTATAATGGCACCATCTCACCTCACTGCAGCCTCGACCTCCTGGGCTCATGCTTTCTTTCTGCCTCAGCCTTCCACATAGCAGGGACTACAGGTGCACACCACCACACCCAGCTAATTTTTTTATTTTTTATAGAGACAAGGTCTTGCTATGTTGCCCAGGCTAGTCTTTTTTTTTTTTTTT